TTCCTGTGAGGGTGGCAGAGCCCTGGCAGAGGCTGCCCAGGGAGGTGGTGGAGTCTCCTTCTCTGGAGACATTCAAACCCCGCCTGGACACGTTCCTGTGGGACCTGCTGTGGGTGGCCCTGCTCTGGCAGGGGGTTGGACTGGATGATCTCCAGAGGTCCCTTCCAACCCCATGGGATTCTGTGATTCTGTCTTGTCCTGGGAACTCAGGGGGACATATTCACTATGCTGGGAAACCAGCTGAAGTACAAACAACTTGTTTGGTGAGGCCAAAGAGGATCCACCGAGCGAGCACACTCCTAGAGAAAGGCCTGAGACTTGCTCCCCATCACTAGGTGTGGTGGGAAGGCGAGCAAGGCAATGCCTCAGTTTCCCCAACTGTAAAATAAAGCCCTGCACTATTTCCCTTCCCTTTGCAAGGGTGGTGCGCTCAGAGGCCAACCCCAGCGTTAAAGCCTGTCAAAGTTTTGGGATAGAAGGTGCTACGTAAGTGCAAGGAATTAACATCATTACACTTTATATGTGAACCAAAGCCCTAATTCCCACTCCAGCCAGTGAAGCCAACCCCAGTGTTAAAGCCTGTCAAAGTTTTGGGATAGAAGGTGCTACGTAAGTGCAAGGAATTAACATCATTACACTTTATATGTGAACCAAAGCCCTAATTCCCACTCCAGCCAGTGAACTAAGCCAGCAGCTGTAAATTTCCAACATTTAACACATTGCTACCTACCAAGATAGGACTTAGCTAAGAATATCACACACACTTCCCTCTCCATGAATGAAGCACGTGGATTCGGGGAGCAGCAAATCTATCTAGGCTGTGAATAATTTTTTTCCAGTGGTGCCCAGGGACAGGACAAGAGGAAATGGGCACGAACTTGAATGTAAGAAGTTCCACCTCAACATGAGGAGGACCTTCTTTCCTGTGAGGGTGGCAGAGGCCTGGAAGAGGCTGCCCAGGGAGGTGGTGGAGTCTCCTTCTCTGGAGACATTCAAACCCCTCCTGGATACGTTCCTGTGGGACCTGCTCTGGGTGGCCCTGCTTTGGCAGGGGGTTGGACTAGATGATCTCCAGAGGTCCCTTCCCACCCCATGGGATTCTGTGAATCCAAGAAGAACCATATCTAGCTCATATTTAAGATCAGAGGATGCACAACTGGAAGGAACATTCTGTTTTCAAGGAGCATGAAGACACACCAGCGAGACAAGTAAGGTTAAAGAAACTGTTTCTAGGTTTGACCTCCTTGCTTCCATTACGCATGTCACCTTCACTCTCATGGCTTTCCAGTGTTGGTTTTTAACCTTGCACAGACAACAACCCCCATAGAACACACTGAATTCCATGACACAAAGAGAGCAGGTTGTGATTCAGGACTCTACTGCTAGTCTGGATTTAAAATCTAGTTTGTGGACTAAGCTTTTCCCCCGTTGCTCCTTATATATTTGTGAGAAGAAAACAAAACATCAAAACTCTCCCTTCTCCTAAAAGCAGAAACCTGGCTTGAGAGATAAATCAAACTTTCCCTGACCATGCTCACCTTTGCTCTTTCTGCAGAGCTTCTGCATGCTGCCTGTTCTCCTGCCGCCACATCTGCAGCTCGTTCTTCATGGCATCCATGTCCTCCTGGATGTAATCCATGATCCTGCCGAGCGTAAGGGCGCTCCGGCACAGAGTCTGGATGGAGACCTGAAACTTCTCAATTTCTTTGGCTACCAGGTCTCTCTCTTTCTTCCGAGCTACCTCCGATACAAAGGGCTTCTCCTAATGGAAAGGATGAAGAAGAAAGTATCAATACAAAGGAAAAATAAAAAGCCATTGAGGTGCTGGAGCGGGTCCAGAGAAGGGCGACAAAGATGGTGAGGGGTCTGGAGAATAAGTCTTGTGAGGAGAGGCTGAGGGAACTGGGGGTGTTCAGCCTGGAGAAGAGGAGGCTGAGGGGAGACCTTATTGCTCTCTCCAACTCCCTGAAAGGAGGGTGTAGAGAGGTGGGGGTCGGTCTCTTTTCTCAAGTCACAGGCGACAGGACAAGAGGAAACGGCCTCAAGTTACCCCAGGGGAGGTTCAGGCTGGATATTAGGAAAAATTTTTTCACTGAAAGGGTTCTCAGCCCTTGGAATGGGCTGCCCAGGGAGGGGGTTGAGGCACCATCCCTGGAGGTGTTCAAAAGCCAGGTTGATGTAGTGCTGGGAGGTCTGGTTTAGTGATGATGCTCCTTGTTTGTTGTGTGGGTGTCTATTTTTGTCAGTTAGGTTGACGGTTGGACAAGATGATCTTTTAAGGTCCCTTCCAACCTAGAAGATTCTGTGATTCTGTGATTGCATGTGAGGTATTGAAGGAAGGATGTTTTAGAAGCTGCTGTGAAGTGTCTGAGGAAATGTTTATGATCTTCTGCAAGGAAAGAGAAGAAACAAAGCAATGGTCTAGCAACAGATGAGCAGGAAGCACACCATACCCAGGTCACCGCCGCTACAGAGGACTCACTGCTACAAAACCGCGCAATAGTACATTGCTTTTTACAAAAGTAAAATTAGCATTTGATCCCATAAATGAACTCGCTGATGTTCTCGTTCTCAACAGGGTCTTTCCCAAAACAGTGGGTGGAAAACCTCCTTTGCATTCCGTCATGGCTTATTTCAACCTACTTCTATATATAGAAAGAGACATTTCTGTGGCTTAAGGTAGCATCATTAAAAAGAAGCTCTCAACAGATAAGTAACACTTTTGTTATCAAGCTGCTGCTGCCGCTGGCTGCCAACACATTTGCTGTGTAAATCCTGCTTCCATCCATCCTCCTCCAAGGCTGAACTGTCAGGGCCATCGCTCCAGAGCCCTGCACCAGGGGTGGACCATCCACCACCTGATGGATTGGCATTTACTCAATATTCATAGAATCATAGAATCATTGAGGTTGGAAGAGACCCTTGGGATCATCGAGTCCAACCATCTCCCCTACTCTACAAAGTCCTCCCCTACACCATGTCCCTCAGTACCCCATCTAAACGGCCCTTAAACACAGCCAGGGATGGTGACTCCACCCCCTCCCTGGGCAGCCTGTTCCAATGCCCGACCACTCTTTCGGTGAAAAATTCCTTCCTAATGTTCAGTCTAAACCTCCCCTGTTGGAGCTTGAAGCCATTCCCTCTCGTTCTATTGTTAATTACCTGTGAGAAGAGACCAGCACCAACTTCTCTACAGTGTCCTTTCAAGTAGTTGTAGAGAGTGATGAGGTCTCCCCTCAGCCTCCTCTTCCTCACACTAAACAGCCCCAGCTCCTTCAGCCGCTCTTCATATGATTTGTCTTCTAGACCCTTCACCAGCTTCATCGCCCTCCTCTGCACCCGCTCCAGCACCTCCAGATCTCTCTTGTATTGAGGTGCCCAAAACTGGACACAACACTCGAGGTGTGGCCTCACCAGTGCCGAGTACAGGGGCACAATCACCTCACTGCTTCTGCTGGTCACACTATTTCTAATACAAGCCACAATTCCTGCAAGTCTGCAAGTCACGGTGCGTAACGGCACTGAAAACAAGGTCACGTTAATCCCTTGAGGAAGATGATTATGAAATCTGAAAGGCAGTAATTTGGAGAAGGAGAATTATCCCTGCTCATCACGTTATTGCCTACCACATGGTGAACGTTCACTGGCCCTGCTTGCCACAGCAGGTCCACTGCTACTGCTACTTAGGAGCTACAGAAGATGCTGAAGAATCACAGAATGGTTAGAGTTGGAAGGGACCTTTAAGATCATCCAGTTCCAACCCCCTGCCCTGGGCAGGGACACCTCCCACCAGCCCAGGTTGCTCCAAGCCCCATCCAGCCTGGCCTTGAACCCCTCCAGGGATGGGGCAGCCACAGCTTCTCTGGGCAACCTGTTCCAGTGCCTCACCACCCTCACAGCAAAGAATTTCTTCCTGGTATCTCATCTCAATCTCCCCTCTTCCAATTTAAAACCGTTCCCCCTTGTCCTGTCACTGCACTCCCTGACAAAGAGTCCCTCCCCAGCTCTCCTGGAGCTCCCTTCAGATATTGGAAGGGGCTCTAAGGTCTCCCCGGAGCCTTCTCTTCTCCAGGCTGAACAATCCCAGCTCCCTCAGCCTGTCTCCACAGGAGAGGTGCTCCATCCCAAGAGTTCTAGTTCTCCAAGTCGCCCCCTTCAAGATGTTCCTCTCCCTCCCCCTGTCTGTATCTGGATTTCCAGCTCCTAACGCTGGTCCTAATAACAGCACTTGGTGCCGCGCGGCTGGAATAGAGGGGGGTTATTCCCTGCCTTGTGCTTCTGGTAACAGCGGTTGTAAAATCACCCAAGGCTGCAGATGTGGCCTCAATAAACTCCACGACTCGGAACTAATTTGCTCTCATGCACACTCCCCCCACCACGGGCAGCCTCTGGGGTCAAATCTCCCGAAGCCCCCTCGCTTCCTGCAAGTTGAATACAGGGGAAAGGATTTGCTTAAGTGGCAAAGTCACAAAAAGATGCCATTATTACCCAACACGCTGTAATAATCCTATTCCAGGAAAGCCTTCCCTGAAAACAACAATCACCATTAAAGAAGAATCCTGAAAGGAGCCTACAGAAGAGCTGGAGAGGGGCTCATTACAAAGAGGCGTAGCGACAGGACAAAGGGAGATTTAGGTTAGATACCAGGAAGAAATTCTTTGGTGTGAGGGTGGTGAGACACTGGAACAGGTTGCCCAGAGAAGCTGTGGCGGCCCCATCCCTGGAGGGGTTCAAGGCCAGGCTGGATGGGGCTTGGAGCAACCTGGTCTGGTGGGAGGTGTCCCTGCCCAGGGCAGGGGGTTGGAACTAGATGATCTTTAAGGTCCCTTCCAACCCAAACCATTCTATGATTCTATGATCTGCTGGGTTTTTTCTCCCCCATCAAGAAAAACAACCCAACTTTTCGCTCTTTCCAAGAGCCCTACAGGTCCAACTCCCAGCCCCAGTTTTCCCTTTAAGACACACAAAGCTTTAAGTAAAGTTTATTTAAAGTCATTCAACGTATGCCAGAAAACCAGAAATGTCTTTCTCTCCCATCCCAACCCCAGGATCGACCCCTTCCCAAGCACTATGTCAACACAGGGGTGGCAGGGTGCTTCTCCTTTCATGCTGGGCCACCAAACCTGCCGTGCTGTCCCCTCCTGCCCTCCTACCCAGTTGGCCCATTTCCCCCCCAGCAAGCCCTGGGCTGTTTGTTCAGCTGCACGGGGAGGCAGCAGGGACCACTGCCAAAGGCATTTCAGCAGCCCTTGGCTTACTGATGAACTCACACATATATGTGTATATATATATATTTATATATTTCTTAGAAAATACTTACGAAGATTTGAAGGCAGAGATTTACTCACGCCCGATGCTTGTGTTTTAACAGCGCATGAAAACTGGGGGACTTCTGAGTTTACCACAATTTTATAACGTTAAAGTTGTTTAATTAGGAACTGGGCATAAGTGACAAATGCTGCTGAACTTGTGACCTTCACTTCCTAAGGCAATTCAGGAGTGCTTGGCTAAACTGTTAAAAATAACACTCCCTTTAGTTCCTTCTCACTCAACCCAATACCTCTCTCACAGAAGCAGGTGTTTCATTATCCCGCACGACATAAAACACGTTATTTAGATACTTTCTGGAGCCATCCATGTGTTTTACACAGCCTTTACAACACCAAGACAAAAGCACTGCTTCTTGACCCTTTTCAGCCCCCGCGAGCTGGTGAGCACCCTCCTTCCAAGCACAGTTGCCAAGGGTTGAGCACTTCTTCTCCACTGGGTCTCCTCCTTGGCCAACCTCTGAGCGCAAAGGCCACTGGTGGCCCCATGGACATCGTCAGCTTTCTCTCCCCTGCTGATATTGCAGCTCCTCAGAGAAAAGAGCTTTTGCCTGGGTGCCCCTTCAAGGTACAGATGTCAGGTTGACAAGAGTTTCTCTCCTGGAAATATTCTTTTGCCTTGCCACCTTGCTGCAGCTAGAAAAGCCATACCAACAGATCTGCACCCTCACAGTGTTTCAAAAACTTTTGCTCTCTCTCTGTTTTCCCAGTCACAGAATCACAGAATGGTTTGGGGTGGAAGGGACCTTAAAAATCATCCAGTTCCACCCCCCCTGCCCTGGGCAGGGACACCTCCCCCCAGACCAGGTTGCTCCAAGCCCCATCCAGCCTGGCCTTGAACCCCTCCAGGGATGGGGCAGCCACAGCTTCTCTGGGCACCCTCTTCCAGTGTCTCACCACCCTCACACCAAAGAATTTCTTCCTGGTATCCAATCGAAAGCTCTCCTCTTTCAATTTAAAACCATTCCCCCTCGTCCTATTGTTATACTCCCAGATAAAGAGTCCCTCCCCATCTCTCCTGTAGGCCCCCTTCATGTACTAGAAGGCCACTATAAGGTCTCCCCGTTGCCTTCTCCTCTCCAGGCTGAACAACCCCAGCTCTCTCAGCCTGTCTTCACAGCAGAGGTGCTCCAGCCCTCTCATCATCTTCATGGCTCTCCATTGGACCCGTTCCAACAGGTCCATGTCCTTCCTGTGCTGAGGACTCCAAACTTGGACACAGGACTCCAGGTGGGGGTCTCACCAGAGCAGAGTAGAGGGGTAGAATCCCCTCCCTCACCCTGCTGGCCATACTTCTCTTGATGCTTTCTGGGCTGCCAGCACACACTGCCAGCTCATGTCGAGCTTCTCATCCACAAGCACTCCCAAGTCCTTCTCCTCAGGGCTGCTCTCCAGCCATTCTCCACCCAATCAGCCCTTGCTACATGTTGTGTTC